TTTAACCATGATGACACAAAAAATACCTTGGAAATCCACTATGAATGTAAAAAATCATCCATTGTTGAAAACATTGGAATACAAATTCAATTTCAGATTTATCTTTTATAAAAGGCAAGTAATTGTGTAGTGTGGTTTTTTTCTGGTTATTTTATGTGTTTTTTAATAGTTTATTTGTGCTCGTTTTAATTTATTTTAGATTTTTCTTAGTCTATTTTGCTCGTTTACGTATTTTCATTTTGTTTTGGTGTTTTGGTGTTTTGTGCTTTCTATATTATTTTGTAGAAAAATGTGCTTCGAAAATAAGCTTGATGTCGCCGAAAAAATACTAGAAATCCCGCCAGAAACGCACCGGAAAACTGTCGAATAAAAACATTGGAGAGTTGCCGAAAACTCGACAGGACGTGCGTGAGTTCTCGTGAAAAATCTGAGCACCCAACACTCTTGGACCGATGCCCAGTTCGAGGGTCACCACCAATCACTCGTGGACAGTTCGAGCTCACGATCTAGCAACACCAGGACAGAGGGATCACACTTGCAGGGCGAGCTTAAGCTCGTTGAGCACGCGAGTCTCGACTGTCGCCTGCCAAGCACGCCAAGCATCTCGTCGGGCATGCAAATGGCGTCGCCCTTCAGATCGCCACACATGCGAGTAGCGTCGCCCCGTCGTACTTCAGCTCGCCACACTCGCGTGGCACGCCAAGAAGATCGCCACACACACGAGTTGCATGCTTCACGTATCTGTCACGCGACTTTGGCGAGCACGCTCGTCTGCCTTGCAAGTGTGTTGCTCACCCGCTCATCCATCTAGTCCCACCAACTTGCGTCGCGCACGATTTATTGCTTGATGTCCACCCATCTCGCGAGTTTCCGTCATCATGTCCGTATGTTGCTCAAGCTACGTTCTCCACACCCGCGAATATCGTCTACACGCTCACGCAACCTGCGAGTCCTAATGTCCATTTCGCTCAACCTACGGGTTGTTTACTAATTATGCATTTTTCTAGTATGTGTACTGACAGATGTATAAAAATAATTGTCCTTTAGGATCATTACCTCGTTTGTTAGATTTCACTTTTTATTTTTATTTTTCTTTGCTTTGTAATTTTCCTCTTGAGAGACTAAGGGCTCCAAAACCTAATTTTTATTGTCTTTGCTTTGTAATTTTCTTCTTGAGAGACTTAAGGGCTCCAAAACCTAATTTTTATTGTCTTACTTCTCGGTCAAGATTGGAATTTTTCGACTTATTTCTACTTGTGATGCTATTTGAGATTTAGTTTAATGTTCAAAATTTCGTAATTTGTCTCGACTTTGCTTAGTTATATTCCTGGTATATTTTCTTTAGTAAAGTTGAGAACTATCATGAGTAGAGACTGTAGAGTATACTATCATCCTCGAAGAGTATGGATTATGGAATTTTGTAGTCGATTGTATTGCGAGAATTGATTGATGTTTTGGTTTAGTTCATCATAGCGATTGTTTGATTGCATGTTTCCGAATCTTTGAGTTCTCTTTCTTTCATATAATCAGTTTTTCGGGTGCTTTAGTCATTTTCTTTTTATTGTAATCTTGTGATTCAATATATTTCACTCGATTTTGCTTACTTGCTTTCATTTAAATTAAATCAGTTGTTGTCCGAATACGATTTTGAACCGTCTTCATTTGTTAACAACAATTTTATACCTAACACTAATATATCTATCTTAAATTCATTCTCAAGGTGGATAGAGATGCATCTCACAGTTGACTTGAACTATGTTTGTTGGGAGAGACAAAGAGATCGAAGATGAGGACTTGAAGGCTATTTTGGAAAAGTGAAATTTATCAACGTGAGTGAGCAATAAAATAGTTGTGCCAAACTTATTTAATTTTATGGACTTAGATTCACCAAAAAAATGAAACAAAGTGAAGATCCATATATAGATGTATACATCACATTAAAGATAAACATACATCAATATATGTGGTAAATATTCATCATCATGTAAGTGCATGAAATTAATAGTAACTCATATGTTGATGTATATTATCATTATATAGGTCTATTTTTATTTTTTACCTTATATATATAGAAAAAAAGTCCGATTCACAATGTGGGTGGTGATATATGTCGAAGCGAGCTGCTCGTCAGCTTGGGTTGACATTGATTAAAGAGTCATACTCGGCTCTAAATGAGAAACAGTATATAATTTTTTTTTTTATAGTTTGACTCGTTAAAACTCATATGCGGCTCGTTAAGACTCGAGCTAGCTCAACTCGTTAATATTGATAAACGAACTGAGTTTGAGCTCCATTGCCGACTCATTTAGCTAATGAGCTTGGTTCATTAAGGGATTTGGCTCAAATTTATGATTTTTGCTCGTTTACAACCCTTTGCGCTTGAGCTATAGGAATTGTTGCCCGAAAACATTTTGGGCCACTTTTGCCTTAACTCATGTTACTTTGTCTATTTCTCTTATATTTTAGTTGGTTGTGGATTGTTTATTTGTTTATGTTGTGTTTAGATTGGTCGGGTCTCAATAGAGTTTCTTGTCTTCTATCAACTATCATCAAGGGAGTGTTTGTGACTTGTGGAGCTAGTGTTGATCACCTTTGTATTTCTATTTATTGATGTTGCAAAATGCTTTTTTTTTTAACAAAATAAATTATGAAGGCTCTATTAATATGATTTCAATAAGACTGGTGTTAGGCAAACCTAATCGTTAGTAAAACATATTTTAAATTAAATAAGTACTTCAAAAAACATTAAAATAAAAGCGTGACTTCAAAATATAAGTATCCATTTATGTTAAAAATATATATGATGGGTCGATGATGCAGAATATTATTATTATTATTATTATTATTATTATTATTATTATTATTATTATTATTATCATTATTATTATTAGCATTTAATATTTATTTAATTTAGTGACTTGGTGGACAAGATAGATATTAGGGTTTGAGTGTCTTATTTAAAGACCTCTCTTATTCGTTATTCAGTAGTGAATTTTGAGAATAAATCTGATATTGTGAGTTTTACGTGTTTTACGAGAGAACATCTCGTTTACTCGTTTATCATTCTCACTCGTACGCTTTTCCCTACATCAGCCGACCCACCCAACGATTAAGCCAGTCTTACGCTAGAATTTGTGATATAAAATATATAATTGGACTTATTATTTTTTATAATCAAATTGAAAGTTGTCCTACTTACAAAAGGAACAAAACAAATAGAATTCTAATTTGGGTGTAGTAAAGTTTGAATGATAAATATTTTTAAGTTAAGAGATGCCCAATTCCTAAAGTAATCTTTTTGCATGTCACCTTTATATTGTGGACTAACTAACTTTTGTTTTTATTTTATACATTGATCATTGAGGGTCACTTTAATAATAAAGTTTCCTTTAGCCATTCATGCAACAAAATTTGTCCTAAACAATATTTGCACTGTAAGATGCTTGTCTTCATCATATATTCTTGAAAAAAAAAGGGCCAATTTAGACGCCAAACATAGCTAATATATATATATATATGGTATGTCCCTCATGAGCTCAATAAGTTTTATTATAGCAAACTAAAGCTTAAGAAATATGAAATTTTGTATAGTTTTCTGTAGCTCAAACCGTTAATATTTGTTAGAATATCACTTGTGAGTTGTCTCATATCATTTATATAGGGAAAATAGACCAATTTATAAGTCTAATGGACTACTTCTTCTTCCACCAATTGATTTTGGGATGAAACCTCACTTGGGCTTCATCTAGGTTTTAGTGCGCTTCACGTGCGTGGAACCGCACCTGTTTTGTCCCCCTTTTTTATATGACATCAAAATCGGTTCTATATGTGCGATGACGTACCCGTTTTTCCCCACGTACCCGTTATGAGAGCCTGTTTCTAATAGGGCTTGGGCACCCAGCTCCGTATATAGGCTTAGACTTTCTTATTAAAGACTCACAAGTGAGGGGGCGTGTTAGAATATCACTTGTGAGTTGTCCCACATCATATATATAAGGAAAATAGGCTTAATTTATAAGTCTAATAGGCTACTTCTCCTTCCACCAATTAGTTTTCGGGTGGAACCTCAATTGGGTTTCATCTGAGCTTTTCCTGTCTTGGTGCGCTTCACGTGCGTAAGACCGCACTTGTTTTGCCCTCGTTTCTTATAATATTGATAAATAAGTCTTACACCCGTATATTTATATATGCGTATATGTGTTGGTGATAAAGAAGCTGATAGTGAGGGTGTGTTTGTAACTTTTTATACAAATATATCCACTCAAAATGAGTTTTTTTTTTTTTTATTAGCTAGAGTTACTTTTGAAAAAAATGATATGATTAGTTTTGAAAAAAATGATATGATTAGTTATTAGTGAATTTTAATTTATATTATGATAATTTTAAAATAAAATAATTAGAATAACTTGAGTCTTTAGTTGAATCGAACATGAATTGTTAATAAATGGGCTCCCGAACTCAGTTTATTGACAAATCTTAACGAGTTGAGATCGAGCTTGACAGACCAAATAATTACAATAAATGTTTGGAAAAATATGCAAAAACCCTCGGTTTTCAAGATCGACGAGTTTCAACAAGTCAAATCTACGAAATAATTCTAAGTCTTAACGACTCGAGCTTGAACCACTCTCACTCCTTTACTATTACTTAACAAGTACCTAAAAATGCAATTCGAAACAGCTTTCTTGAGCACGAAAAATACGACAACAATAATAACAAAATTTTGAAATAAAAAAAATAATAATACTAATATGAAAAGTGGCACAACACAAACCGCGCAAATACTTATAGGTGTGCCAAGGCACACGGTAGTAGCACTGCACAAACCTTTGGTGATATTCATATTCCCATTAAAAATTCTACAGTTTTTCGATTAATTATTTTTTTATTTCACCATTTTCCTTTTTTACTGTGTCCAATGAATCTGCTATTTATGGTAACTGCAAAATTGCAGTGGACAGGTGCTGTACCTGTACAAAGCCATATAACCTCTGTCCTCTCCTCTCTCTGTATTTACTTACACATTTTCATCTCTCTCTCTCTCTCTCTCTATCTCTTTCGTCCTCCATTTTTGGTTTATTTTCTTTTTCCTCCTTCTCTCTTCTTTTAATTTTGAAAGAGCCCACTCATGTGTTGGCCATCAGTTGCAGAGCCCACTCATGAAAGAAAAAAGCCCGTGTCACAGTCGCCGCCATTAGCTTAAAAAGGCGTCACCTTTTTTAGTTTCTTTTTTTGGCTGTAAAAAAATCCGCCATTAAATTCAAGCAACTTGAATACTGCAAGAAACCCAAAAGTCGGGCCTTTTTTTTTTTTTTTTTTCAAAAAACCCTTAATAAATCCTTTGATTTTCTTCCGTTTTTCGGGCTTTCCTCAGAATTTTAACAAGAAAATGGCTGAAAAAGATTCAAGCTTTGACAAACCCCACAAATCCGCTCACTCCTCACAGGTTATAATTTCAAATCCCTCCCCAAAGATTCTCCATTTTTTGCATATACCCTGTTATTTATTTATTTATTTTCCTCTGAACATTTCTTGATTTTCATTTACATTTTTTTTGTCTAAAAAGGCTGTTGCAGAGGAATTGAAGGAGCTCTGGTCCATGGCCCTCCCCATAACCGCCATGAACTGCCTCGTCTACATCCGCGCCCTCGTCTCCGTCCTCTTCCTCGGCCGCCTAGGCAGCCTCGAGCTCGCCGGCGGCGCCCTCTCCATCGGCTTCACCAACATCACCGGCTACTCCGTCCTCGTCGGCCTCGCCTCCGGCCTCGAGCCCGTCTGCAGCCAAGCCCACGGCTCCGGCAACCGAGCCCTCCTCTCCCTCTCCCTCCACCGCATGATCCTCATACTACTCCTTGCCACCGTCCCCATCACTCTCCTCTGGCTCAACCTCGGGCCCATCATGCTCTCCATGGGCCAAGACCCTGAAATCACATCCATGGCCGCTACCTACTGCCTCTACTCTCTCCCTGACCTTCTCACAAACACCTTGCTTCAGCCCGTCCGGGTTTACCTCCGGTCTCAGGGGATCACGAGGCCCCAAATGTGGTGCACTTTGTTAGCCGTGGCTTTCCACGTGCCGTTGAATTACTTTCTTGTGGTGGTCATGGGTTTTGGTGTGCCAGGTGTTGCCGCAGCCTCTGTTTTGACTAATCTGAATATGATGATTTTGTTAGTCGGTTATGTGTGTGTGTCGGGGATCAGGTGGGGGTTGGGGTTTGGCCGGTCGGGAGATGTTGACGGTGGTGGGGTGGTGGGGCTGCTGAAACTAGCGGTGCCTAGCTGTGTCGGGATATGTTTGGAGTGGTGGTGGTATGAGATTGTGACTGTTCTGGCCGGTTACCTGCCGGAGCCAAAGCTGGCGGTGGCGGCCACCGGAATTATGATACAGACGACAAGCTTAATGTATACTGTGCCGATGGCCTTGGCGGGATGTGTCTCTGCCCGAGTGAGTTTTCTTGGCTTTCGGTCCCGGTTTTTAGCTTAATTACAAGAATAATATCCAGTAATGTTTTTTATTTTCTGTTGATTATTTGTGAAATTAGTACTGATGGAAAATTTGGCTAATCTTGTGTGCTTTTGCATATTGTTTAACTGTGGACTGTGAAAATCCAACAGAGATAAGAGTTTCTTGGCTTTCGGTTAACTGTTTAGCTGTGAAAATTCAACAGAGATGTGAAAATTCGTCGGTTTTTTAGCATATTGTTTAGACTTGTTTAACTGTTTAAATGTGTCTTCCCCTGAGTGAGTTTCTTGGCTTTCGGTTAGCCGTGCGTGTGGTTTTTACCATAATTACAAGAACAAAAGCCAGTTCTGTTTGTTGATTATTTGTAAAATTAGTGGTGATGGAAATTCTGGACTGTGAAAGTTGATGTTATATGTGAAAGTTGATGATTCGAATTTTGCCTAAATTTTGGCTGATCTTGTGTCCTTTGCATAATTGCTCAATTGTAGACTGTGAAAAGTTGATGTTTTTACATATAGTCCTCCTGCATTTTGTTCTACATTGGAGATTCATGCTAGGATTTCATGCAAAAATTATATCTTTGGCTGTTAGATTTGTAAAAATCATGTCTAATTAAAAAAGCCTTGCGCCCTCTTTTATGATGAACTTCCATATGCAAACCGGGCTTGTCGAGCTGTGTGTTTATTAGCAATAAAGTTCGTGTGCGGATAAAATACTCTTTTGCAGGTAGGCAACGAGCTTGGTGCTGGGAAGCCGCACAAAGCCAAGCTAGCAGCAATGGTTGCATTAGCCTGCGCATTCGCAATCGGCCTATTCAACGTAATGTGGACCGTATTATTCAGAAACAAATGGGCTGGGCTTTTCACGGAAGACAACGGGCTGAAAGCTCTGGTTGCTTCGGTTCTGCCTGTCATCGGGCTCTGCGAGCTAGGGAACTGCCCCCAGACGACGGGCTGTGGGATCCTGCGCGGGGCTGCCCGGCCCGTTGTGGGGGCCCACATCAACCTTGGCTCGTTCTATTTTGTGGGCCTGCCCGTGGCAGTGGGCCTGGCCTTCGGTCTTGGAGTAGGTTTTGCGGGCCTGTGGCTCGGTTTGCTCTCGGCTCAGGCCGCGTGCGCGGTGTCGGTTCTTTACGCGGTGGTGAGCCGGACCGACTGGGAAAACGAGGCCTTGAAGGCCTCCAAGCTTGCTAGAGTTCAGATGGGATGCATTAAATGTGCAGATGATGAGGAGAAAAAAGGATTGATGGATATGGAGAAATAAAAAAAAAGAATAAAAATAAAAAAAAAAGTAGGGTTTTGTTTTTCTTGTTCTTTTTTCTGGGAGAAGTTTATTTTGTTTGAGAGCTTCTTTTTTGGTGAGGCATGTGAATTTTTTTTTTTTTTGGAACTTCTTGGGTAGAATATGAAATTGATTAATCAAGTCAAATGATGCATGGGGTTAAAATTGAGGTTTTATTGTAATTTGATTGTTAATTTGTTATGTTACTGACATAAGGCTCCTTTTTAATCTGCATCTATTTTCAAATTGAAATTTGATATGTAGAGAAACATTATAAATAAAAAGTGTAATTAAATTTAATAATGTAATTGCATTTTAAAATATTGATTTGGTTAAAACTTTCCTAGTAAAAAAATTATCACAAATAGTTGTAAAACCTCTGCCCAGCACCAGCGCTTCTGTCGATGTCTCAGTCTCTCCAGCTGCGACGGACGAGTCCTCCGATTCGACAGCGCCTAGGCTCCGTATCTCCGGCGATCAGCTGCGCCACTACTTTGCGGCCCTCGACAGATTCAAATCCAAAAAGTTCAGTTCTCCGCAAACGATCCGCCAAATTTCCAGATCTTCCAGGCATAGAAAGTGACCGTTGGCCATGGGGAATTGCAACTCATTGATATCTAAATTTTATGGGGAATTTTGCAATGACACAACATTTTGTCTCCAACATATGTTATAAGTATGCATTTTAATTAGAAAAATATAACGGCCAATCCATTTAACAATTAGGCTTGCTTAAATTCTTGTGTTCATAAATTTTGATTCTGTCTGGAATTCAATTATGAAAGCCAAATGAGACATTCATATAGTACCTAGTGCATTACAAAATAATAACTAAAAGAATCACAAGAACTAAACAAAAATATAATTCATAAAAAGTATAAAAAAGACTGAAAAAGCTCCTCGCTGTGTAGAGAACACAAAACCAGACTATTCCTCTTTACTCCGAGCTATTCGTGCCCGATGCTTGAGCTCAGCTCTTTTCCACCTCACTATCAGATAACACAGTGAAAACAAAGTGTTCACCTATAAGACAACCATAAAATAAAAAAGGAAAGCTTCCCAATGAGAAGAGAGAAAACAATCAATTAAGAAATAGAAAATAACAAAAAGACAAAGGAAAAAAAAAGAGTAATCACTAACCAAGATCACGATCGCAATTACCAGTAGCGGCCCAGACCAAAGTACAGAGAGGAACAGCCCGTTCGCGTCAAAATAGTTCTGGCCCGCAAAGCTTCTCCAGTTGCCAGCCAAGAACTGGTTCAGCCTCTCGGCAAAATACACACCTCCAACTTCACAATGAAATACAACAATTAAAAAATAGATTCAGGCAAAAAAAAAGCCCCAACGATGAATTTCCATTGTGGGCATTTTCAGAGTTTTTGCATCTTGTAGTTATAAAAGCAATTAGTAGTTAAATGTATGAGATAAGCATTATGGGGAGAAGCATACGTGCGAGAAGGAACAAACACATCTGAAAGTTGATGTTCTTTCGTGACAAGAAAGCTACTAATAGCAGCAGCACATGGAAAGAGACAAGACATATCAGCCAAGGTTCCTGCAGAATTCGAAACTCAGAAATGAGATACAAGAAAAAATAACGTTTACGGCGCGTTTTGAAGATACGGTTGGTGCACAAGGTGTAAAATTCTCAGCATATGCCTAGTTTATCGTGAATATTCTCCTTCAGGGTTTTATTTTCACTTCAACGCTAAATTGCAAATACAATCTACAATCAGAGTTAGTCTCGACCAGAGTAGATTCAGAAGCCGATACGATGTATGCAACAATTTACCCATTACTTTTAAAAAATCTAATACACTATCTCCAAATTAGCAAACCGAGTTTCAATTTTCTACGTCTGGACCCATGCATAAAGATAGAATTTTGAGTTAGGAACCCTTCGAATTGGGGTCGGTGTTCGATTCTCCTCTCGAATGAGCACACAAGTCATTGATAAAATATAGCACTAGCAGCAAA